CATAATAAGTTTATATGAACTTTGCTCATATGATATTTGATCTCGGTAATGCCTACTACAAACTTGGACCCAACTGTTTTGGACATCCTGTATAATTCTGTTTAAAACTGAAGAGTCACATAAAAGGCTGACAGTGAAGAGAAGGAATTCGTTAGGACGGGATATGTTTCAGATGGAAGGCTGGGATAAAAGCAAAGAACAAATTAAACCAACAAAATAAATACAATGTATTGTTGCTCCAACATACGCCACATGCTGATTTTTCCGGTATAAAGTAAGAGAAAAAGATAAACGGAAGAAGAAAAAAAAAAATGAAATAAAAGAACATACTCCATATCGACGATAGTATTCAATTTTCTCTTGATTCGTCGTTGGATCACGGCGGTTCGGTGTGCACTAACAATTAAGAAATACAGCGGAAATGAGAAAACGGAAAGAACAAAAAAAAATTACATATGTGTACATGTAAAAATAAAAGTTGAATGTGAAACAAAAACATGTCGAACTTCTCATTCTGTAATTGCGAGCATTTTAAACACAACAATGGATGACTCATGTTCAAAACAATAACGAATCCTAGCGCACGTAAAATTATACATTAATTACTTTGTACATGTACTTGTATACGCACATAGACGAAAATAAACACATGTAATGTCCAGAGACGTGATATACGTGTGCATATACACACATTTATATATATACATATACGTAGTATGTATATATAAAACTGTTTGTTGCAATTGGTTTTAATACACGCCCGCGCGCGCGCGCGCGCGCACACACACACGTACACAAGATGCACGCCCGTTTGGATTTTCTACAGTGCGCACAAACAGAAATAAGCATATCTGTTATTACTTCATGATAAGATTTGGTTTCTCTTTGATTTCCATTGACGGTTGATTTTTGGTCGTTATTTCTTTTATTACCCGGGTGGGTCGATCGGTCACATAGATCCGCCGAATGAGCTTGATTTCGCGGTCATTGGAATACTTTTGGCACCGATGCTTGAAAACCTTATCAATTGTAATTTTAGTAAGATTGTATCGAACGATTGTCCTTCGGTTGTTAGCGCGTTGAATCGCGAAGAAAATCGCACGTACAAGGGCACCAAGGAAAATGAACGCGGTTAGATGCACAAGTAACTTATAAAATAAAAATAATAATAATAATACAGCAGAAAGAAAACAAAAAGAGAACAATTTCTACAGAAGAAAAAAAAACAGCAAAATAAAGTATTATAATCTGTTAACATTACAGGGACGACATGGCGATATTATACATACATATGTATATTCGTCGATGGTCGTATTAACGATTGTCTAAATATACGTATGTATGTACGTATAGAATTTGAAAAAAGAAAAAGAAAAATATGTATCTATCAATCGCAACGATACTGATTAGCAATGGTAGTTACAACAATGGTAAACGAATAGGACCACTCATCAGATTTATAAACTCAGTCATTAAACATATGCATACCTACAAATAGATAAATAACTCGATGGAACAATGTTGAAGTTATGAAACAAATTACATGCAGCGTAATGTGATAAAACAAAATACTTTCATTCTCTAAAACAGATGTACTTTGTTATGTACGATCGAATAGTAAACGGTTCAGTTAAGTACATTGCGCGAGTGATCCTCGTTCGTTGAATTGTTTCAGAAGTTCGTGTAAAAATCTAATAGAAAAGTTAATATTGCACTTGCGAATCGTGGCAAATCGCACGTCGCACAGTTTCACAAAAGATTACCTAATAAACGATGACCGTAAACACCATTGTAATAAAGTGCGCGTTGGCGATATTATACATACATATGTATATTCGTCGATGGTCGTATTAACGATTGTCTAAATATACGTATGTATGTACGTATAGAATTTGAAAAAAGAAAAAGAAAAATATGTATCTATCAATCGCAACGATACTGATTAGCAATGGTAGTTACAACAATGGTAAACGAATAGGACCACTCATCAGATTTATAAACTCAGTCATTAAACATATGCATACCTACAAATAGATAAATAACTCGATGGAACAATGTTGAAGTTATGAAACAAATTACATGCAGCGTAATGTGATAAAACAAAATACTTTCATTCTCTAAAACAGATGTACTTTGTTATGTACGATCGAATAGTAAACGGTTCAGTTAAGTACATTGCGCGAGTGATCCTCGTTCGTTGAATTGTTTCAGAAGTTCGTGTAAAAATCTAATAGAAAAGTTAATATTGCACTTGCGAATCGTGGCAAATCGCACGTCGCACAGTTTCACAAAAGATTACCTAATAAACGATGACCGTAAACACCATTGTAATAAAGTGCGCGTAATAATATTAACAAGATACAAAAGTAAATAATAATAAAGAATAATGTTTTACATTAAAGATAATTCCAAGAATTATAGCGACAATAATTACGTCACAATAAAATGTTATAATAATAATAATAATAAACTATCAACAAAAAGATAGGGATAAATCGTGATCATCCTACTTCAATAAAAAATAATAATAAGGGTAACGAGATAGTATTTGATGAGATGGAATATAGCGGTAGTAATAATAATAATAGTAACAATAATAATTATAATTGTTCTAATGACGTAGCAGCACTGTTATTAACTTATTCTTGTTTCTACTCACTGCTGTCTTCGACAATTGCACGTGCTGAGAATAATTTCTGCGATCACGATGATACGGAAAAGAACGATGATATGTTAATTCGTAATGTTACTTTTGACTAGGCTCCATTTGTATTCATGCGTACAAAGACTCACGGGAACGGTGTAACATCTTGCATAAAGTCAACTGTTATAACGTTATAAGTATGCGTATCAGCCGAACGTGCGTGCGTGTGTGAGATAGACAGTCAACGTTGTTAAGTACATCGATTATTTAATTAAAGAAACGTCTTTGGTAATTGGCACGGAGTACGACGCGACGATCAGTCCTCTACGATCTATAATAAACGATCCATCGAAAATGAGACACACGTCTTGTTTTATATGCTTATCAAATGAAATTTGTAGTATAACAAATATAATTAGCAATCATTTGCTATTATGTGTAAAAATTAATCATAAAAATATTTTTGATACATTACGTGCATAGTGTTTTCTGTGTAAATTATTTTGTAAACATATGTGCATCATTTTCAATGCGTCCTACGTGCATCGTTATTTTACTTTTTCTGCGAGTTCGTTAAAAAGTAAGCATTCGTAACTCCGTTCATTTGGTTTGACGCGTGCGTGTAAATTGTTGTTAACTTAGAGCATATGTTACTGGAGGCAGCTTATCAAGCGTTGAAGGTGTAAACAGGGTAGAAATCCCTTTCTCATAAAACGCTATCCCCTTCCTTACTTGTCATTGTGGCACAGACATTGTGGCTGCGAGAAAAAGACAGCACGTAGATGAAGTATATCTCTCTTGTTACACGTCTGTCTACACTTTCGACACATATTGAAGCTGTTTTTTCAGTATCATTTGCTTTAAGATTGTTAGCGATTAATGGACACTTGTATCTTTATACTTAAAAGAATTTACAAAAAAGTACAAAATAAATCAGCTACGAAAAATTTCAACGAACCATCATAACGAATAGCAAAGGAAAAAGAGAAAATGTGCGAAAAGAATGATCGGTAGAAATGAGTGATTAGAAAGAGAGCCAGCTATGATCATCTGTACATTTTAGCTGTCCAATGACGAATCAATTTTTTTAAAGTAATGTCCAACCAAATTTTCACAATTAATTATGTTCTCTTGAATACATCTGATGTCCGTAAGAAGCCTGTTATATACTTTGTGATATTCGTCTCGACGATACATTTAAACAACGAAAATTTACGGTATTTTCGTATAAAACAAATGATCACATTTTATTCAAGTTGAACAAGTCGAAATTGGAATACTTTTAATTTAATACTTCTCTTTAAAATTAGACAAAGTTCTGTTTTTACATAGTTCTTCTTTTTCTTGAATTTCTCATTCGGAAGGAGAGCTTGCGATGTCATTGTTTTCTGTTTCGTCTTTAACTGACATAATGAATGGCAATGTTAAATTAACTTGGATATCATTACTGGACTCTCCAATTTTTTTTGTTTCTCTCTTTTCTGATTTTCCATGCAAGGGAATTGCACATCTTTTAAGTTTACAATGAAATTAAGTACCTAACAATGACGCCAATGAGTTAATCTTGCATCAGTAACGACGTAAGGGTCCTTCAACATGAATTCCGAACCACGGAGGATCAATTAAAATATCTCTGACAATTTCAACGCGTGATTCCGGTCGCTTCTACATTGTTCTTAAAAGCTTAAATACTACGCAGACGATACAAACAAAAGTACAAGTTCGTTCACGTGTTTAGTAAAATCATTTATATTTGTCGGTTGCGATTTAACATGAATGGTTACTGACTCAAGATTAATTCGTGTACAATCACGTGAGTGCCGAGTATTCAGCGAATAAAAACGTCCACAACGAATTTTTCTAATTTACTTATCATTTTCTCACACGATATACTGAAAAGTACCATTCTTCTTTTTATACCTGTTGAACTTGTGACCGTACAGTTCGTCTACAGGTTCGAACACAACGGAGATCACAATTAAAAAGAAAAAAAAAATTACGAATCGTAAGTACCCCCGAAGAAAGAAAAAAAAAAGAAAAGAAGGATGATCGCGTGCACGCTAGAGTGAAGTGTCAACCAATGAAAAAGATCTCGCATGTCTGCCTCTCTTCTTCCATCGTAATGTCTCTTCGGAATTCCTCCATCGTTACAAGTTGCCACGCTTATTTTCTATCATACACACGTTTAAAAAGCGATCCTAGTCCAATCCTACGGTACGGTACAACGTTATCACAAAGTCATTAAAAAATGCTACTTATGTATCGTTTTTTTTTCTTCCCTACGATTCGTTTTGTCTCCTTGTCCCAGTTTTGTCTTTTTTTCGTTTTTGGTTCTTTTTTTTGGTAATCTTTACATCATTACACGTTATCATTAATTTACAACCAGACCCGACCGCGGTCTCAGTCCGCTTATAATAGTTTCATTCTCATTACTAGCACGATTTCACTCACGTTTCATTATTATTTTTCTTTCCACCCTCCTCGTCGTTCCCCAATTTCCTACGCGATTTTGTCCCTATTAATTTATTCGGTTAGAGCCGAGCACTATGCAGTAACTAGTGCACGTTCCCTTAACGTTTTATCTACATATGAACAAGCACTTCGTGACGCTGACAGCGATCCCGAAACAACGAGTCGATAAAAATCGTTTCTCAGTCGGTGAGCGAACGAATTCGTTATGATACAAGGTACACAGAGTCCCGGTCTCAAGGAAAGAGCATACAATTTGTTTCTGTTCCATTGTTTCTTTTTCACTTCTTTAACAGCTAGTTACTGATTGTACGCAAACATTTCTTACATTAGAGGTCCACGAAGAATTCGTTTGCGATCTAAAACTGATCCTATTTCCTCTGTCGTCCGTTCGATCGTGTAAGTAGTTGAAGCGAAGAATCGTAACTACATTTACAACGGACTATAACGTTCCTCATCAGTTTTAGATCGCATCGCGCGCATACGCATATTATCGTACATACACATGCACATTTATATGGGTATGCATACGCATTCGCAATATATATATATAGATTTATATATATATGTACACACAACATACAAGAGAAACAGAGAAATAGGGTAGCATCGTGTCATATTTCAGCCCAAGAAACATAAGAACGTAGGCGTTCGATCGATTGGTGCCTTCAATTTCCGCCTCGCTACACTTTTTTATCAATTACCGTGGCTTCTCTCTCTCTCTTTCTCTCTCAAGTTCTCGCAAGATATCGAGTGCGCGTTTTGTTCTCTTTCCCACGATGATTCCTCGTTTCCGTTCCCGCATTCCGGATTAATTCTCGCACCCGACTTGATCCAGAGTGTTTAAGTTGGCCGGGGTTGATCGTCAAGGAGGATTTCCCCTTTTCTTTCCCTCTGCTATACCGCTCTTTATTGTACGATGGTGTAGCGTTATTGATAATCGACGCTGACGTCTCTATCTCCGATCGAATGCGGAACAGACCACGCAGTGGCGACCGTACGTGGGAGACGTACGCGAAATTAAAACGTGGAGGTAGCTCGTGAGTGAATTAGTTCGAGGAGCCGTTTTCGTATCCTCCTCAAGGAGATGGTGTGTCGCGTAAGAAAAAAAAAGTACAGGACGTGTCATAGTAATAATATGCGTGTAGTAATCATGTCTGGGAGCGGACTTCGTATTTCTTTTTTGTTTTTTTTTGTGTTTTTTTAGTGAGAGAGGAGCGAGAACGGGCAGATGTGTACAGGCACCGACAGACACAGAATGACTGATCAAGAAGGTTGACCAAGGAGTCATGTGACTGATCGACAGATCGATCAAACGATTGACCGATTCGACTGACTGAGACTGACATGGCACGGCGACTCCGATCGAGAACACGGTCACAACGTCACAGGCCACCTGCTGGCACACAAACAAACACACGGACAGGTTAGTCACCACCACACACCAGATATTTAGGATTAGCCCGAGTAAACGTGCACGGTGACGCGCCGGATATTATCGCCGACCTGGGTCCGGGGCCGTCGTCGGCGCTGGATTGACTCGGAAACTTTCATCGAATGCGCGAATTCTTTTTCCAGTAAGCGAATTCTGGTGATTACTTGCTCATTGACATCGATAAATTATTGTACACGATATACTGCAGAACCCAGTTTACTGGAAATGTGTGAACATAGTTTTCCACATTTTGTAAGCGAGCGGGGCCATTCGTGTCTAAGTACTATAAATCAGGGGTTGAAAGCAGTTGGGATATCGGTTCTAACAATTATCAAGAAACGAAAAAACGACGTAACTGTTATTAAATATATAATAGGACCTCGATTTAACGGATTATATGAAGGGAACCTGTGGCTGCTATTACCGAAAGTCATAAAGCCAGGTAATCGTTAATACCTGTTGTGTGAAAATCAAAAAGTTCAGTTGAAATAAAAAAAATCGATTACTACTGTTAGGGTGAACCAAAAGAACACTTGTATATAAAGTATCTTTATTGACATCAAAGAATTGTACAAACTAAAATAACAAAATAAACGTGCGAATTTTTGGTTCACCTTAATAGGTATCGGTAGAACGGAAATGCAGAACCGAGAAATAACAGTTTTGACATTTTTTCGCTTCTCTGTAACTATTTTGGTCAGAACCGATATACAATTATTTTTGGAATCTTTTCAATCCCTGCTAATAGGAAAGATAGAATTAGTCGATTGATTTAAAAGTTTGGGTCGTGATTAATTCGAGTAAACAAGGTACTGCTGCACATTTAGATAAAGATAGCAGAAATAAAAAAGATACACGTTCGAAAGTAACGCATTCGTGCATACGAGAGAAATTGCGTTTTGTTGCTCGCCGAAACTTGGCGAAGAATGAATCGCGTGAAGACATTGGCACAAAATTTTGCGGATATGACGTCACCGTGCAACATGTACACAGGTAGTTTGTCGAAACGTCGCCTTAGATGAACAGAAGTAACAAGAATCTCATTTATATCAAACATTCGTAAAACGTCTATAACATTGAAATTGATAATTAATTCCATACTTGTTGCTTCCTTCATACCGTCGTGATCCATCGACGTCTCTGTCTCTTTACTACATAAATAAATTAATAGAATAACAATTGTTAGAAGCATTTGAAGAACAACGATATGTCTCACGAGAGACGAGAATCGACGAATCACTGTTGATAACGGTACGTCGACGTCCGACGGTATCCCAGAAAAAAAAGATCACACGGCGATGTTAGTACTAACAACTAATGAAGCGTATCATAGCGTAAAAATTAACCATCAAACTGTGAAATATTATTGTCACGATAGAACGTTCCAAGTTCTCTATATCCTTGAGCAATTAAAAAAAAATGTATATATATGTATATAAAAAATAGATAAACTAGGAAAGAAATACTAATTGTCGCGATCTTCAGTACAGAATCGTGTAAAACAGCGTAATCAGAAAATTAGTGAGGTAGGCCGTTGCGATCGCTTTTTTTTTGCTACCATTGGTAGCGCAATAAACAGGTGACTGTCGATAAAATTGCTGACAAATAATATATGTATATGTATAGAAACGTTTGAACAGTACGTATGTATATACGTGTGTATAAAAAAACGATTAAAAAAGGAACAGTCGAAGCGAGTCTCAAAAAAGGTAAGACAATTAAATAAAAAAAAATGAGAACAACAAGAACAAAAGTAAGTTTAGTCATAAACGTACGAGAAACTTAACGTGGCGTGAGAGGAAGTAAACTCAAAGCGAACTACTACTTATACTCTCGTATCCTGTAGGAGAAGCTACAACGGTGAACATTGTTAGTGAAACTTCACGTTTATGTAATTTTTCCACTTTGTGCACAAAAGTTAGCACAATAAGCTTGATTGGCAGCCGTTCGCAACGATATGAACTTTGATTACACCACTGACCGACCGCGCGAGAAAAAAGAGGTTTGATAGAGCGGTGTACGGGAAGGGCTGAAGGGTTCCACCTTCGAAGATATCAAAGGACGAGCGACGACGTTACATTTAATTGAAAATCGGGTCTCGTTTCAAAAATTAACAATAAACGTGTTTATAATAGAAGCTCTACTTTTGCAACAGAAATTACATTCGATAAAATGCGCACGAATTTCAAGTACTCTATGAAAGATGATTCAGAGATGCATTGTTTGAATCTTACGCTCTTTTTACTTACATATTTATAAGTATTTAATATAGTTATGTTTATGTAAACTTATTTGAATAAAAAATAATTTTATTGGTGTCGTTTGTAACAATAGGATATGATTAATTAATAATATCCATGTCTATTTAATATAGTTATGTTTATGTAAACTTATTTGAATAAAAAATAATTTTATTGGTGTCGTTTGTAACAATAGGATATGATTAATTAATAATATCCATGTCGGGTGAACGGAATAAACGAATTCCAGATTCACGCTTAAAACATCTTGTCGCGACGTATTTTCTCTGTGTACAGAATCGATAGTGACCATGTACGTACTTAGAAAGTTGTTTTGGCCGAAGAAAATTGAACAAGTTTCGCGGAATGATTCTCAACCATTAAGTAACTAAACAAATACTTTATGCATCGACAGTTTTATCAACTATCTATTTTTATACTTAAAACATCATAAAAAGAAAATAAAAAAAAACAACAGAATTTAGTAAAAAAAAAAAAACCGAGAAATGGGGGAAGTCACCACTGCGTTTAGAACTTCTATCACTTGTAGCTCCTGTTAAAATCCACTTAAAGTATCGATTTCGAAGAGCGGCACAGAAATACATATATTAACACGAGAGATACAGATATGCGACAGCCGAAAAGAAGACAGGTATAATCTTTTGTACACAAGAGCAGAATGGGTACGTGGACGGACTAACAGGTAAAGAAAACCTGAACTTCAGAGAAAGTCGAATTTCCTTTGGAGCATGTTCGAACCTTTACAAAATGAGATATATAATATAGAATTGTTTTCACCTATTTTCTACTCGTTAGAAAACAACCTAAGTCTTCAACGTTATCACAGCCTCGTTTCGGAAGTTAACTTTGAATTTCAATAGAAGATTCCTCTCGTTCGCGTCTGAAGAGAACGAAAACCTACCTAGAATGCTTTATAAAAAATACTGTTTGACTAGAGATTACACGCCTATGTGTGCGATCAAATGAAAGGATCAACGAAAATATCCATCTGTTCAAGTCGAAAAATGTCCCGATCAATGATCGACGATTCTGAATTAAATGCATGAACAGTGGATCATTCTCGGTTTGAGTAAGGACACCAAGGGTCGTTGATTCCGAGCCGTGGTATCCGAGAAGTCCTTGGTATCTACCTACGAACGGTGGACGATGCCGGCTAGTAGGGTTTCGATGCGTCCTTGGATCGTTTCAGTTGGACCTTCAACCGTTTCATGCCGATTTGGAAGCCGTTCATCGCTTGGATCGCTGCCTGCGCGCTGGTCGCGTTATCGTATGACACGAAGCCTGCAAATCATTTCAAACAATATTCGAACATGTTACTTGCACTGGGATTCTGTTATAGTTAGATCTCACTCGGTGAATAACGAACATTTGGTCAACTACTTAAATACATATATAGGACAATAAGAGAATTTCAACTGGACGACTTAAAATTTAATAATAATGTTATATAAGATATTAAAAAGAAATTATGCGATCATGAAATTTGTGTCGAAGATCATTACTGAGGAACAACGACGATGATTTTCTTCTAACTTGAAGATTGAAATTTCTACTTTAACTCCTAACTTCCGTTGTTCTTTGGTTGATATCGACTACTCCTGGTATTTTAAATTTCGTGTACGAAAACAGGATCGTATGTTAAGAGTCAAACTGTGTAACGAATAAAATCATGTTTGGGGTGGAATTACGTTCGTAATTCGAGTTTCGTAATGGGCAGGTTGAGTCAATGCAAGATATGTATAATTCAAGACTAACTGACAATAAAAAGATTTATCTTCATCTATTAAGACGAGAATTTTATGATCGGCTTAACATACGTATTTAAAGGCAAATATAGTACGTCAAGAATAGAACTTGTGTGCTTACCGAAGCATTTGCTCAGTTGCGTTTGTTTATCGATGAAAACCTTCGCAGAGATGACGTTCCCGAACGGTAGAAACGTTGAGACCAGGTCAGTATCGCTAAACTCCTGCGGTAAATGATAGATAAACAGATTGCAGCCCTCGGGACCTTCTATCTGCTTGTCCGTGTTCGTGAATTTCGCCTTTTGGGCTGCCGCTGCGGCCGCCGCCGCCGCAGCTGTAAATGCAGAGGATGCAGGGAACCCTGAAAGCACAAGATTCATCGTACAACCGATTCCTTACCCAAACCCGTTGATTGATTGATCTACGCGTCGTGCTTGCTTCTTCGCATCCCACGAGATTCGCATTTTACCACAGAAATTATGATCAGTCTTTTCCTTACGATTATCCATTTATTCGTTTTTGGAAATATACATACACAGAAAACAAGATCAATCAATTTGTCTTCCGAGTAATAATTAAAAGATTTCCACATTTTAAACAGTTTGAAGTCAACTTCAGTTAAACAAATTTCATACATGAGTTTGACTATTTGATTTTTAATAATGCTTCTTGGTACAGCGAATGCAAGTTGCTTCCTATTTTCGTGTTGCGTATCTTGTGAGTTGGAATTTGTATCAGTGGGCGGTTACATACTTATATCAGATACATTTCATTTTACGAATAGGTATCCGTGCAAACAGCTAATGTCGAGATTAAAATTACACTTTCGTTACGGTTACATATGCCCCGCGTTCGGATTCATATCGCCAACTATAAAAAAATTCTTAATTCAAGCGTTGTCTGACCGCCTCTAGAGATTCAGATCGATCACGTGCAAATCGATCAGAAAACGGTACAGTACACTAGATCCGCATTATGTACATAGTATATTGCATAGCGCTAATGATTTCAGGCATTCCACTTCGTGTGTTTCTGGTGTTTTGTTACTCACTATGTAATTTTTTCTTTTCCATGGTCGTCACCGACGTCTTTCCAATGAGAGCTTTAAGGCGCACAGTTATTCGTTAGAACAACACTCTTTACTATATAATCACTAGCTTTTCTTTCAATGTGATACATGTGATAATCCTGATCAGAACGAGACAGACATTTCTCTAATTAAGTTCCTTACCTGCATATTGTTGCAAACTGGAGTAGGCGTTGCTCAAAGAGTCTTGTAATCCGTTCAAAGGTGTTCCTGTCAGGGAATTGAGCGCTAAGGACGTCACAGGACTGAGACTGCCACCGGTGGACCCTTGGAAAATGGAAATCGACTTCATTTATTACATGTTTAACATCCTTGTCTTACTTTCATTCTACAATAATATCCGGTCAATTAATAAGATCATTTGTTTGCGGTACATAATTTTCTGACCGGCATGCTTCATGCTATATAATATATATCAGCAAAAAAAAACAAAGAGTAGCTCTATTAATATGAGCATTATTCGGTTAATAATGCGAGCGGTAGCATGCGCGTTGAGTAGCTACCAGAAGCGATGTACTTTTAAAACACAGATCCATATTATGACTTAAATAACGTAATTGAGGGACGTAGTTTCCGAATAAATATACATTGTTCCAACGTGCATGTTTGTTGATGTGTATAGTTAATTGCAATAAGCGACTATATACAGGAAGTATGAAACAACGCCTGAACAATTTTCGACTAATTCATAGGCTTTTAATTGTAATTTGCGTTTCCTGAGAAATACAAGCGCATTTATATGTAATATATAATTTGATGTAACTTGAAGCTCAATTAGGTGTATGGACATTTTCAAACAGACATCATTCATCGCGAGAATCCATTATAGTACATATTATATAAATACTATGAAACGACACGTACAAGTTAAAGCTTAATTCAAAACTAATTGACGAATATTGGTCGAGCTTCCTTCTATTTGTTAACAAGCCAACTAATTACAACGCGATTAGTCTATGAGAATATGCACGACAGAGGATAATGATCATGTAATATGTAGACGAGATTTATATTACAGAATATCGAGTTAGAGTTTGATGAAAGGATAATCCTCTTATTTACATGATTGACTGTAAATCTAAAACATTGTGTGATAGGATACATAGAGTGAGAATATGAAGGTACGAATAAATGAAAGAAAATAAGAGTGTGTATACGAGTCGCAATAGACGGACCGATATAAGAATGCTTTATGCAGTTGCAATCTCTTCTCACCTGTGTTTCCGGTCTTTCCAAGAAGGACAGCTACGCACGAAAAAAAATTGTGCACATTAAAACGCTGATGTGCGTCCATATAAAAAAAGAAAGAAAGAAAGAAAGAAGATCCACGATTTCGCCTATATGTAATTCCCGAAGTGAGATTTTGCAAATTTTTCATAATTTAATCAGTATAATAGCGTTGCTCGTCGATCCGGGTATATATATGTATGTATATGTAATCGTTCGGTGCACTTGGTGCGTTACGAGCGAATATGCGAGGGATCCGGGGATATTGAAATCAAAATGTTCTGAAAGAATGGAACGAAACGCAGAGGGGCTGTATGTAATGGAACGTGGAACGTTTATGTGCGCGTGTTCCACTGGTCTTATACGTGTATCAAGGCGAACATACCAAATTCGTTTTACAGTTAATATTTATATTTCATTTTGAGATACGATTTATGGGAGAAAGAATGCAAAATATGTTTCAATTGAAAATGTAAGATTTTTATATCAATTCCAAATTTTATTAAGCGATGAATAAAGTTTACTGATAAATTACTAAATGAATAGTAACATTCTTTTTGTATCTATACGAAACTCTTACGCACTGAATAATTATGAAATATCGTTGGTATAGTTTTTCATTGATCTAAAGTATATGTATGTATATGTAATCGTTCGGTGCACTTGGTGCGTTACGAGCGAATATGCGAGGGATCCGGGGATATTGAAATCAAAATGTTCTGAAAGAATGGAACGAAACGCAGAGGGGCTGTATGTAATGGAACGTGGAACGTTTATGTGCGCGTGTTCCACTGGTCTTATACGTGTATCAAGGCGAACATACCAAATTCGTTTTACAGTTAATATTTATATTTCATTTTGAGATACGATTTATGGGAGAAAGAATGCAAAATATGTTTCAATTGAAAATGTAAGATTTTTATATCAATTCCAAATTTTATTAAGCGATGAATAAAGTTTACTGATAAATTACTAAATGAATAGTAACATTCTTTTTGTATCTATATGAAACTCTTATGCACTGAATAATTATGAAATATCGTTGGTATAGTTTTTCATTGATCTAAAGAAATAATTTAAAAAAATCCTAAATTAATAGTAAAATTCATGTTGTAACATTTAACATCAACATCAAATTGTTATGCATTGATAGATAGGAATATTTATTTGGAAAATAATTTGCGAATAATTATGAAAAGTCGTAGGCATAGTTTCCTACAGATCTAAAAAACCTAATTTTTTATACATATAATAGATACGGAGTTTACCTGTTGACCTACTTTTATGTAGAGACGGAACTACGATTTTAAAACCAGTATACATTACTTGAAACACTCACTACAGTACAGAATATTGAATATGAAAGTTTTAGACTGTCACTTTCCAAGCTTTCGCAGCTGGTACTATCTAAAATTCCTACGTGGTACACCGTATCAGTATGTGTATTCTTAGATCTCTGATAAAGTTGACATGAGTAAAATTTCAAGAAAACGTGAAACAACTTCTCTGAAAGGTCAATACGTGCTAATATTTGAGAGTTTCAAAAAGTATCAACAGCTGAGAATATTAATAAGGGCAAGGATATCTATTTTTTACAGACCTAAAAATTGATATAAACTATCATCCTTATACACGTATGGCCAACAATTCCTGACCAGACACGCAGGTATGCGAAAGTAAAGAGACATTAAATTAAGTTCAGTATTCGTAAACGCATTATGACTCCTTCGAGCGGCGGCTCGAATGTGGTGGGTCGGAGATGTGAATTGACAGAGGGGAAAGTTAGAACGTTGAACAGCAGAGAGATTAATTTAGTAATTGTTAATACTATACCAGGCAATATGACACGTACATAGCGACATACCTGCTGTCGAATTCGCCAGTCCGCTTAACGCTGAAACACAGAACACGTTCACGATATTAACAAGCGGAGTTAGTAACGTGTTTACATATTCAGTGCGTAAACTTGGCCGAAATTCACTTATAGCCGAGCTGCACTCTGTACGAAATAAGTAAATGTGTTTCATCGTGCGATACGATAGCTTTCAACGTTATTGCGATCGTATAACGTGCTCCTAAACGATCGAACTAGATCACAGCCAACGAAACGTATAATGAGAATCGTTCATAGTGAGTCAGAAAAATATTGGCACGTTCGTTTCCTCTGAGATTCTACATCATTAGTACAAAACTGTTAGCCAATGTTTAATGCAAGTAAAATTTAATACTCATGAGTAGACTGCGAATTGTCTGCATTTATAGAGAAATTGTAATGAATTCAAAGAAATATGAAAAATTAATTCCATGTTCAATTACACAGAAAATATCAAAAATGAAAAGCACTAATGCTCTGATTATTATTTACTCAAATTCAAGCAAAGACTAGAAACTGCTTTTACGTCTTAAAGGCAGACACTAGAGATCATTTGACGAAACTCATTTTTGTACGATATTTTTTACACACAATCACATGGAACAGATAAATGAGCAAATGTATATAGTATATAGTATATGTATATATTCACACGTACAGACATTACAAAATGAAGTTGCACAGTCTTTGATGACAGATTAATCAATATCTGATATATTTGATAAATTACGTTTTAATCATGGGATTAGATTAATCCTTACGATTTCCATCATGCTGTTACTCTTTCAATTCCATGGTAGCGTGCAAATCAATTGGGCAACCGTTTACTTGACTCAAGACTATAAATTTATAAGTTACCTAATCGATGTGCACGCTTAAATGTTTCAAGCTGACCTCCTCTGCAAAAGCATTACATTTTTTTTTTAGACATTATTATTCATTCACTAGTCTTCTACTTTGACGTTCAAAACGAGGACGAACACACAGTACACATCGTATAAAGAAAATTGCATGGCTCGTGTTTTTATGGATTATGCGTGTTCGTGTCGCGATGGAAATTTTTCGTGTTACTCACTGTTTGGCGACACTTGAAGGTTGCTGTTTCCGCCAGTCATGGCAGCTAGGGTGACTAGGTTCTGCATACTCATTGGCGACACTCCTGCGTTTGCTGCAACGTACGTTATCCAACATACGAGAAGCGATTAGATTCGGGATTGGAATAAAACCGTTCTTTTCGAAAACAGTCTTAATAGGAAGGTTTAGGAACAGTAATCAACTGTCGCGTCTATACGTTCCTCAAAGTGAGACTAATAACAACAAAGTCTCGTAAACCGTCCATAGAAAAGACTTTAAAAAATGCCTCAACATGTCTGTCTATTTTTTCAATTTCATTTGTAATTTATTATTATATTTAAACGATCAAAGACAGAATAATTTTTCAGATTTTACATGATTTATANCATACTAACTGGGTCGGGAATCAATTTGTGCAGCTGTACATACAATGATATTTCTTACACATTAAATGTATACTTTATATTCTCTAGTCTGTATAAATGCAAAAAATCCGCAGTCTACTGTCACAGAAAAAATAAGGTAAATTTACCAGACCATCGAACGAAAAAGACAAAAGAATATTACGTAAGCTTGATAACACATCGATTTATGCTCGTCCAACAGTACGATTATATAAGACTGGATGCACCTAACGTCAAATAAGCGTGCGTTCGCCGGGAATAAGTAGCGGTAAACAGATGTTTTTAACGTGAAAGCGTGACGAGGGTATCCGCGATCTATCATTCCAATGGCTCGCTTCCCAGACCCGTAAAACGAATGATTTTATTATCGCGAAGACAACCGGTAAAAAGTATGCAATATAACTAAACATAGCAGCCCGCGAAACTTGCGAAACGTCACGGGACTCGACATATGCATAATTTACGGTTGTCGATGGCTGGGCACGTAACGAACAACGGAGCGCGACTTTCGATGCCGGACAATGGATGATAAATGTCGACTTAGTATTAGGTACGCGACAAGGAGGACGATGGTTCAGGTGTCGTGTAAAGTATGACCGCAATTTGTTTGTGAACGAGCGAAATTTATGCGAATCGCGAAAGAATAGAGAAGTTGCTGGGTATTATAGTCATCGTTGCCCGGGCCACGCCGCGATGAAGTTCGCCGAACTTGTTTCCGAGTTTACAGGATTGCTCTATATTAAAATCTCTTTTCGCGAATAGGAAGGCTGATCTTTTTAATAATTTTCATTGTTGCACATTCGAGGTTGCAAACATTTTACTACGTACTATGTAAAAAAAAAGTTATCTATACCGCATTTAAAATTGTAATAAAAAAATATAATAAATTCTGAGTAACTGGGACGTAATGTAGTACGCCGTTGATAAGTTTACGAGATTGTAAAGATATTCGATAGGTAGACTGGAATTATTTCTGTACATAAAACGTGTGAAATATGACAATTTATGAAGCTATCGCTTACTTCATCCATTTACAATTTAAACTGAACTTGGCGTTCATTCAACTTTATTTCGTAACTGAATAGTTCAACAACTTTTGCTTATCCCAAATAGCTTGACGGGTTTTATGTGTATATTGATGCTTCTGTTTATGTAATTTGATTTAGTAAATTAGTATGTACAGCTTGGGATAATGATCATATCTACCCACTTTTTATTGTTACTTTGTCGTGAGGGGAGAAGAGTCTTTGATCTCCTCACAAGACCCGAAAATAGTAATAAATTTATGGTTCACTTTTCCAATGCTTTAATATGTACATAATTCAAAAATGAGAATAAAAGGGATGCGGATTTAATATGAACGAATGGATAGAGGACGTTTATTATTGTATTTAGATTGACATCTCAATCCTAAACACATAAATTGACTTGTTATCCAGTTATGAAGTCAATGAAAGTCAATAGCACATTTTTATTTCCCTATTTAACTTTTTATCCACAAATAGAAACCTTGGAAGAAACTGATCTCCACTTCCTTAATTAAAAATATGTATGTGTCTGCATATTTCCTTATACTTCGTTTTAAACGAGTACTTAAAATGTAAAACACTATTATCGCAAAGTTGATTCCTTTCTAATGATCTTTTATCAATTATTAAAAATCTAGGCTCTAATCGAGGCAATCACATTGAAAAAATGAGTCGTGAATTTATTATTATTTCGAAATCTTGTTCCCACAGCGGAAAGCGTCGAGAATCATTGTCCCAATCTGCACATACTCACCTTCCATTTTTATGGTAAATAAAAAGTGAAAAGTACAGATGTAACACGAAGCGACATATGGTTGAATTTTATCGATAAAAAGCAATAGAAAAATGAACGTAAAATAAGATAAAATAAAAAGAGGACACCAACCATACTCACCGGCGGTGTTGCTCAGGGACGCGAGCGTCGCCAGGCCTTGGAGGTTCGCGGGGTTGATTTCCGGCGGACTGGGCACGGCGGGCGCAGTCGCGTGTGCCGGGGTGGCCGCTCCTAGGCCTAAATGTTGTTGCAGCAACAGCTGATGTTGTACGTTGGAAAGTGCGTTCGCGCCGGCACCCGCCGCGACCGGAGTCGCTGCGCTCGTCGTCGCCTGAAGTTGTTGCAGCAGCTGCAACGATGCGGGCGCCAGGGCCGGTGTCGTATCGTTCTGCAAACGATCGAGGTAGCCCTCGGTTACTCTGTCTGTTTTCTCTGCGGACCGTTTGTATGGGCAATGCTTATGTAAAGGTAGCGCAGGTTGCGCAAGTAATTCGCGGAACGTAAGGTAAACGGAACCGTAGCGTCCAGTTGCTATGCGATGTGTAGTT